CGATGTCACAGCAGCCATGCGTGACACACAGGACAGACCTGCGCTCTCCCTACTTGCCCCACAGAGCACTCTGGAGAAGTTCCACGGTCTTCCCAGTGGGTAGAAGTGGTGCATCGGGGACAGAAATCAGGCAGCCTATCTGCATTCTGCAGGCACTTTCTGACACCCTCGAACTTAGGATACGAAATACGAAGTATTAAGAACTGAGGTCTGGACCCTCCTCCAATGAAAATTGTTCAAGTATCTCAATATAGCCAAAGGGTCACCTCGCGTGCCCTTCTGAAAATGTCGCTAGAGAAGACAGCATCGTGTTTTGACTTGAAGCTCATGAACGCTGAAGTGTACTTGCTCTGATGTGGCCCAGTTCCTCAAACATCATTTATCAAATACAGCTTCTTTTTTTGTTTTCTTGGAGAGGTTTTTGCTATAGGGCGCGTGCGCTCGCCAGAAAGACAGAGAGAGACAGAGAGACAGAAAGCGAGAAATCACCCCCCTACGGAGAATGCCCATGCTGCAGTCCCTTCCCCTCCATTCTCCTCTCGGGATCTTGGGCACACATGCACACGCACCCGGCGTGAGTTTAAGCCACCGAGTCCGGGACTCGAACTGCAGTCGACTACATGGGAGTCCAGCGACATAGCCATTACACCAACTGCTGGTCCCACTTCTTCCTTTACAAAGGCCACAGTATGAATGATACTGGAGAGCCCAAACCTGTTGGAACAACTTTGTAACGGTTACTACACTTTGGCTTTATTGCGTAGTTCTGGTCCTCTGGTCTTCTGTTTTGGGAAAAGTGTTCCCTTCAGCCAGTATGGTGAGAAACTGGTTCTATCATACCCCAACACGTGGAAGATGACAACAGACCCAGCAGGTGGCGGGGTCGTTAAGGCACTGGACTCCCACGTGGCCAGCTGCCATCCCAAACCTGGCTGGCAGCTTGGAAGTCGTGGCAGGTACGCGTGTGTGCATGCCCAAAATCCCAGGAGAAGGGATTGCATTGTGGCCATCCCCTCTGTGGGATGATTCCTCGCTTTTCCTCTCTCTGTCTGTCTCGGGCGAGCATAAGTCCTACGGGGGGGCAAAAAGGAAGACGATGACTATCTTAAAGCAACTCGATTTAATAGGTGGCCATCTCATTCACGCTCGGCGTGGGAAGGGGGCCCTGGGTAGACGCAGTCAGTCTGCAGGCATTTACTACCGCTCCATCCTCGGCCCCATCAGCACTCCTGGACTCAAAGCCTCTCCTTTCAGGAGGCCGGAGGCCGAGAAGGGACCCATATCTGAATCTCTTGTTCAGAAATAGGTCAGCTGCCGGGTGGGCGGGAAGCGTGTCCGGGTACGAGCTGTGCTCGTTAAGCCGTGACTTCAAGCTTGTTAACGTGTAAATGCTGCAAAGAAGTCGTTTTCATTCCTATACGCACGGAGCTACGGTCCCTGTGTAACCAGGTGGCCTTTGCTGTCTGGCAGGTGTTCAAAACCTGCCCCAACTTCCTGCGGGGCGGCCCGGCAGTGTGTGCAGTGGCAGCGAACCCTCATTTATGCTAACCCAGAAAAGTCTTAGCGCCCGTCATGCCAGCGTTCGTGTCAAGGCTGTCTCTGTGGCATTAATCAACTCTGTTTTAGAAAGGCACAGTGCGGGACCAGCAGTTAGCGTAATGGCTATGTCGCTGGACTCCCCTGTAGTCAACCGCGGTTCGCGTCCCAGACCTGGTGGCTTAAACTCACGCCGGGCACGTGTGCGTGCGTGCCCAAGATCCCAAGA